AGCACGGGGGGGACGGCGAGCCCAAACGTGAGACGGAGGGGTAGGGTCAGGGGACAGCGGAGGAGACACAGGAGGGGAACGAGGAGGAAGACGGGCCGGAGACGAGTCCGGCGGCGGGAACACAGGACCGTAGACAGGGAGGTCAGCAGGCGGTGGGGGAGACACCGGCGCGCGGTCCGGTGAGGGAAGGCCGAGCAGGCGGAGAGCGGAAACCGGCGGCGACGGCTGCTGCGGCGGCGACGACGGCTGGGCCGGAACTCTCGGACCAGCAGAGGCAGAACGACGTCGGCAGAACACTCAACAGCAGCACCCCCAGAACCAACACCCCCAGAGCGAGAACCCCCTCCAACACCAGCGGCACCCCCAGAAGCCGCAGGACGAACACCCTCCTCCACACCAGCACCCCCAGGGGCCAAGAGCGGCGGCGGCAGTGGCGGCAACGGCTGCGGCGGCGGCGACAGCGGCGACGGCTGCGGCAGCGACAGCGGCGGCGGCGGCGACGGCTGCGGCGGTGACGACAGCGGCGACGGCTGCGGCAGCGACGGCGACGGCGGCGGCAGCGGGGTCGGCGACTGCGACAGTGGGGGCGGAGGCACCGGGGAAGGGGGACGCGGCAAGGACGGACCGGGGGTACCACCAGAGTCAGCAGACTCCTCAACGGGGACAACCGACGGGAGGGGAGTGACGTGGGAGACACCAGACGGGGCAGGACGAGGCGGGAGAGGGGCAGGGGCTACCGGGGGAGAGGGAGCAAGGAACAGGGGGGGGGCAACTGGGAGACCTCGGTGAGGGAAGCGGCGGTAGAAGGAGACGGACTCGTCAAAGGTGACGTCACGAGAGTGGAGGAAGCGGTGAGACGGCGGGTGGTAGAAAAGCCAGTCAGACGAGTCCAGGGGGAAACCGAGGAAGACACAGGGGACAGTGCGGGCAGTGAGCTTGTCCGTGCCAGAGGCACGAACGTGAGCAAGGCAGCCCCAGACGTGGAACGCAGACGCGTCACCGGGGGACCCGGTCCAAAGGAGGGTCGGCGAAACCTGCGGCCGCTGGGAGCGTGGCCACAGGTTAAGCTGGTGAGCAGCGTAGCGAACAGCGAACGGCCACAAAAAATGGGGGGCATCGGCATGGATCATGGAGGTACGGGCGACCTCCATGACCAAGCCGATGCGGCGCTCAGCAACCCCATTCTGCTGTGGCGAGTCCGGCAAGGTGTACGACTGGGTGATGCCCTCCGCACGACAGAACTGTCCAAGCCGACCAGAGGCGAACTCGCCGCCACGGTCGGAGTGGAGACACAACACGGGGAGACCGCGGTGGAGACGCGCAGCCACAACCCACGGGAGAAGAACGTCGGGCACGTCGGCCTTCCGCTCCAGGGGAAACACCGTGGTGTAGCGCGTGTAGTCGTCGACGAGCACAAGGAAGTAGCGCTCACCGCGCGGTCCGGGGACGGGGGCAGGGCCCCAAACGTCCAAGTGCAGGGTCTGAAGGGGGGCAGTAGCAGGACGCAGCGAGGAGGAGTGAGGAGCACGGCGAAGCCGACCCTCGACGCAAGGCGTGCACGGTGGCGCAGTCGAGGGAGGAAGGGCAGGGAGCGACGCAGGGAGACCTAAGACAAGACCGTGCTGGGACATGTGACGCAGACGCGGGAGAGCAGGGTGACCTAAGCGGTGGTGCCAGAGAAGGGAGGGGTGAGCGAGGGACCGACACGAGCAAGCTGCAGCGACCTGGGAGGACGCACCAACCGGGGGGGAAGCGGTGTCTAGGGTAAACAGACCGGACACCGGGTCCCGGGGGAACGTCGCAAGGGGGGAACCTGAGACAGCCTCAGAACAGACAGCGAACCGCTCGTGCCCGGGGAACGTGGTGGTGACGCCGAGGTCCTGGAGACAGCCGACACCAACCAGGTTCCTGGAGAACGAGGGAACGTGGAGGCCAGTAAGGGAGCCTGAGGGAACTGCCGGACAGGGAAGGGACGTAGAACTGCGCGCGACGACCGGACCCGCAGAGGGGTCAGCGAGAGAGACAACAGCAGGTGCAGCAAGCGGCGTGAGCGTGGAACGGTCGCGGAAGAAGCAGGCAGAAGCACCGGAGTCGAGAGTGAAGGACAGCGACGCAGTGGCGGAGGCCGGGGACGGAGCCGGTGCAGCGACTAGACTAGGCAACCTAGGCAGTCCTACGCCTGACGCAGCAGGGGAGGCTAAGCTACACAGTGGTGCAACACCTAAACTAGAGTACACAGGGTAATAAGATCCAGCAAAACTAGAAGTGTCAGAATACAAAGCATGCAAAGCAGCACCTAGCTGATCCATGTCTAACTCAAAGATCGGCACGCCCTGGCGGAGCAGGCTGTGCCAGTCGGGGAGGTCCGGGGCCGGGCCAAAGCGACGACGAAAGAGATCGTCGAGGCGGCGGAAACAGCGGGCGGTCGGGTGCGGGCGGCGGCACAGAGTGCCGCGAAGAGGCCCGGTCTGAAGCTGGTACTGGCAGGTGACAGCACCGGAGCCGCCGGTAGACGCCAAGCTGCGCGGGCCGCCACCACGGCCACTATCTCCGGAGGTGCCGGGCCAACCAGGCGGGAGACGGGCCCACTGCTGCGGCGACTGCTGCTGGGACGGTAACTGCTGCTGGGGCGGCGGCTGCGGCTGGGGCTGCTGCTCCTGCCCACCAGTGGTAGTCCCCGCAGGCGGATTACCGTCACCACCACTACTGCCACCACCACCCCTACCCCCCTGGCGACCACGGCCACCGCGGCGCGAGCGCTGCTGCGGGTGGACCGCACCAGCCGACTCGGTGAGAGGGGCCGCCGAGGCGACCGCAGCCGAAACGTCAGTGAACGCACACTGGGAGGGGGCACAACCGTGAAAGATAGAAACTGCCGGCGCACCGCTCGACTGAGCGATAGTGCGCTGGCGAGTCTCGATCTCGGTGAGGGTGTCGACAAAGGCAGTGAGAGTGAGGTCACCCGGGTGCTGGCTAAGAAAGTGATCGCGAGCACTAGCGAGGCGGTCTGGCAGGCGCATGGCGATAAAATAGAGCGTCATGCAGAAAGGGGGGGGGAGCGCAGTGAGCTGGGCAGCAGTGCTGGCAGTGCGATAGCGGGTCTCTAGGGCACGCAGGTGAGTGGCAAAGTCTGCGACGGTAGGGAAAGCTGCAAGGTCTGGGAAAAGCATAGGGAAGAGCAGGCGACCAGCAGAAGCAGACGCGGGTGTGGAATAGCGGGCAATAACAGCGTCTAAGTAAGCTTTGGCCGTCTCAATAGTAGCAAAACGCGAGCGCTCAGAGACAGGGAGGGCGTGGCTAATGGCAACCTGAGCGACTGCATCGCGGGAGTCCCAGACCGCACGGGCAAGCGCAGCAGTAGAGAAGGTCTCACGGTCATCAGAGGAGGGATCAGCAGGGAGGGGAGCAGGTGCGGGGGGACGGGGGAGCAAGCCGTCGACATGGACAACCAAAGAGTGGCCATCCTGGCGCTGACCTGTAAGGTGGCGGCGGAGATCGGAGAGCCAGGCGGCGAAGTCAACCGCATGGCCCTCCGCGTCCAGTCGGAGCACGAAGTCCGCCATCGTGCAGGGTCAGCGGCACAGCTCCACAGGAACACAGCGACAGCCCCCTCCAGCACGGCGGCCGCGAAGCGCCTCAGCACGGGCGAGCAGAGGAGACGGAGCCCGAGGCGGCACGGCAGGACGAGCCGGGGCGAAGGGGTCAGGCAGGTGCGGTGGGGCCAGGCAGGTGCTGGCGAGGCCAGGAAGGCACGGCGGGCAGGCAGGCGCGGCGGGGCCAGGCAGGCGCGGCGGGGCCAGGGAGGCGCGGCGGGGCCAGGGAGGCGCGGCGGGGGCCAGGCAGGCGCGGCAGGGCCAGACAGGTGCGGCGGGGCCAGGCAGGCGCGACGGGGCCAGGCAGGCGCGACGGGGCCAGGCAGGGCGCGACGGGGCCAGGCAGGCGCGGCGGGGCCAGGCAGGCGCGGCAGGTCCAGGGAGGCGCGGCGGGGCCAGGCAGGCGTGAGGGGGCCAGGCAGGGCGCGACGGGGCTAGGCAGGGCGCGACGGGGCCAGGCGGGCGCGACGGAGCCAGGCAGGGCGCGACGGGGCCAAGCGGCGGGGCCAGGCAGGTGCGGCGGGGCCAGGCAGGCGCGACGGGGCCAGGCAGGCGCGACGGGGCCGGGCAGGGCGCGACGGGGCCGGGCAGGCGCGGCGGGGCCAGGCAGGCGCGGCAGGGCCAGGGAGGCGCGGCGGGGCCAGGCAGGCGTGACGCGGCCAGGCAGGCGTGACGGGGCCAGGCAGGGCGCGACGGGGCTAGGCAGGGCGCGACGAGGCCAGGCGGGCGCGACGGAGCCAGGCAGGGCGCGACGGGGCCAAGCGGGCGCGACGGGGCCAGGCAGGGCGCGACGGGGCTAGGCAGGGCGCGACGGGGCCAGGCGGGCGCGACGGGGCCAGGCAGGGCGCGACGGGGCCGAGCGGGCGCGACGGGGCCAGGCAGGGCGCGACGGGGCTAGGCAGGGCGCGACGGGTTCAGGCGGGCGCGACGGGGCCAGGCAGGGCGCGACGGGGCCGAGTTGGCGCGACGGGGTCAGGCAGGGCGCGACGGGGCCAGGCAGGGCGCGACGGGGCTAGGGTGGCGCGACGGGGCTAGGGTGGCGCGACGGGGCCCAGGAGGGGCGCGACGGGGCTAGGAGGCGCGACGGGGCCCAGGAGGGGCGCGACGGGGCTAGGGTGGCGCGACAGGGCTAGGGTGGCGCGACGTGGCCCAGGAGGGGGGGGGGGGGCGACGTGGCTAGGAGGCGCGACGGGGCTAGGAGGCGCGACGTGGCCTAGCTAGGGTATGGGCGGAAGCGGTAGGTGGGGGATGCTAACCTACGCGTGATACCATGTCAAAGTGAGAACGAATAATGACTAGAGGTGGAAACCTAGAACAAATACTAGTTGGTTGTACTCACTAGAAGCATACCTCGGTCTAGCCTATAACTTCTACATAGATAATAAGTATAAGTTGACATTACAGTACATGTTGCCTGACTTGTAAATAAACCTGCCAGCCCATGACAGGTTGTAAATGTAAACGCATGAAGAGCATGATAGGGCAACGCTGCGAGTTGGCGATGCCCATTGCCTTGGTTTCTAGAAAGCTCCAACGAGAAAAGAAAGGCATTTTGGCATGGAAAACGAATACCCAAACAGAGACTAGAACAAACGAGCGAGCGCCAACGAACCAAGCACTGGAAAACAGGTCCCTCTGCGGTATGGAGATTCACCACTAAAGCTGCTGGGCTGATGCTACTCCTAGGATTGTTAGCTGCTGCTGACGGGATTCCCATGGGATACTAGTACTACCAAGACACGGACGTCGTCGCGTGACGACGAAGGTGCGTGTTACCCTGTAACGCCGTAACGCTGTAACATGTGTCTTCTGCCCTATGAATCCGAATCGGAGCTCTTCTTTGTGAACCACTCCAGCTGAGGACAAGAGGGGGACAGGCAGGGTGGAAAAGGGAGAGGGGAGGGGGGGAACGGATGCATGGTGAGAGGCATGAAGGTTGGGGTGATGAGGGAGGGGCGTGGTGATGGGGGAGGGGGGTCGAGAGCCAGGAAGGGAGAGGGTGTTGCAGTAGAGAGGTGGGGAGGATGCCACCACAAAACGGGGAGTGGTGGGGAGTGGTGGAGAGTGGTGGGAAGAAAGAGGCCAGCAGTGGTAATTATGAAATGACGCATTTGGATGGTAGAGTGACCAGGGGTGAATCCTAGCTTCAAAACATAGAAGAGTGCAGAGACAATGACAACGCATACAGTACAAAACATGGCGCTCAAGATACCAGGGGACCAAAAGAGCCCCAACAGGTGGAGAGAGCCCGCTGGTGGTCACCTAACCGCACAGCTATGTGGCCGCTGTGGCCGCTGTGGCTGCCGTGGCTGCTGGACAGCTCGGCTGCTAGACTGCTGAGCTGCTGGGGCTGCTATGGCTGCTGCGACCAGCGAGCACGGGCGTACCTTCCAGGCGTAGAAGAGCACAAAGACAATGATGCCCGTGGACCACACAGCAGCAAAGGACTACTTAAAATGGGTTGGGATGGTCAAGCAGCACTACAAGCTGCCAGCTAGCCAGCTAGCACGGCAACCACAACCCGCAAGCACAAACCCCCCTACCTTCCAGGCGTAGAAGAGTGCAAAAGACAATGACATCCGCGGACCATACGGCAGCAAAGGACTTCCAGACGAGCGGCAGGGTGACGTTGACTAGAGGCACGACGAGGAAGAGGTAATTGAGAGCTGTCTTCTCGTTCTCACTGCAGTCGCGCGCCCGCAGGGACGGGATGGCTGGGGGGGGGGGGGGGGGGGGGGGGGGGGGGGAAGGGGGGTGAGATGGGGGGAGACAGAAGCAGAGGGGAGAGAGAAAGAGAGGGAGATGGAGGAGAGAGGGGGAGGAGGGTGGGGGTGGGGCGGGGAGAAACGACAGAGACATGAGCGAGTGAGGTGTTGGCGGGGGGAGGGAGGGAGAGAGGGGCAACGTTGACAAGGTGCACGACGAGGAAGAGGTAGACAGGGAGTGAGGGCTGTCTTCTCGCCGCCGTCTGCACGACCATGCAGTCGCGTGCTCGCAGGGACAGGGTGGCTGGGGGAAGAGGGAGAGGGGAGTGTGGCGATGGTAAGGGACGCTGGGAAGAGAGGGAGGAGGCGGAGAGAGATATAGAAGAGAGACTAAAGATGGTCTCTCAACCAACCTGATGCGATGTAAAAGCCGAATTTTACGCCTGTATGTATGAAGTTGTATAAGATCTCAGAAATCAGCCCTTATCATGATTCGCCACCACCAAACATCCATACAGACAGAATGCATTTCCAAGAGCCACTGGATGCCCATACAGTCACGCACCCACATAGAGACACACACCGATCTGATCGCACCCATGTAGAGTCACGCCCCGATCAATTAAAACCCACGTAGAGTCACACACTGATCAATTCACACACCCACATAGAGGTACACATTAATCATCTCACACCCACCGAGCATCCATATGGACCACATGCCATGAGCCGCCAGAGGTGCATGCAGCCACAGTCACGCCTTTAGGAAAGATTGACTGCCCTATGTCCACCCAGGGAATCCAGATCGGCCCCACGCAGAGCATCCAAATGGACCACCTGCCCATGAGCCGCCAGATGCCCATACCATACCATACAATATTATAACAGACCATACCGCACAGGTCCTTGAAACGCCATAAAGCCGCAGGCGCGGCCAGAAGCAAAAACGAGGAACTCCCCACCCCACCCACGCTCTAAACATCACCACATGCCCATGAGCCGCCAGAGGCCCATAGCAAGCACGCACATCCATAAGCCACAGTCCCGCACGCCCATCGGAAAGAGTGACTGCACATGCCATGCCAGTGCCAACACTCAAGGAACATGCCATATGGACCACACCGGCATCACATGCCCGCCCATGAGGCGCATTCACGCAGATAAGCACCTCACTCACATCACAGCCCAAATTCTCACTCACCCAGCTCCAATTCATCCTTCCCCGTGTCGTCCCCAACAGTGGCTCCCCACTCACTGGACGTCCACATGGACCACATGGCACATGCCCATGAGGCGCCAGAGGTCAGCAGCACTCTCACATCCATGCTCCCCACATGCATGCGCGCAAATGAGCCACATTCACATCCTTAAAGCGGCACTCACTGAACATCCAGATGGACCACATGCCCATGAGCCGCCAGAGTCGGGCTCGTCAGAGGGGAACACGAGGTTGTAGGAGAGCAGCCCGCCCAGCGCCATGCAGAGGTACGCCTGCACCTCGAAGATGGTGTACAGGGCGGAGCCCGGCACCGCTGGGTTCTTGGACTTGGTGGACGCGCGCGGGGCGAAGGTGTCGCCGTCTTCTTCACCGCCTGGTGTGTTTGGGAAGGGTAGAGGGTTGCGTTTGGAGCAAGAGGAGGGACGGGGGTGGAGAGCGGAGAAAAGAAAAGGGGAGAGCTGAGGCGGGTACTGCTGGGCTCTTGAACTAAAAGGATGCACGTGGACGGGTGGGGGCGGGAGAGGGAAGGCGGTCGCTGTCTTGCTCACCACCTGGCGTTTTTATTTTGGCGCGGCCGAGGGGGAGGGTGAAGAGAGGGAGAGAGGAGGGGAAAGAGAGGGAAAGAGGATGGGAAAGAGAGGGAGAGAGGGGGGAAAGAGAGGGAGAGAGGATGGGGGAGAGAGGGAGAGGAAGGGGGGGCCCGGGGGAGGGGGGGGGAGAGACGGGGGGTTCAATGGGTGTGAGGAGAGGGAGGGGCGGGGGGGTGTAGGTAACACGCTTTGCGCTAAAGTGCAAATCCATTCTGCAAAGGCGCGTGAATCACGTGACTCTTTTTTTAGGCACGTCTAAGGAGACGAAGACGAAGACGCAGATTAGTCGTCGGATGAAAAGGACGCTGCGCCCCATTTGATAAGACGCACATGCAACGAGATAAGTCTCTTTCTAGCACAGCGCGAAGCCGCACTCCGCAAAGCGGCCAGCGCGGGAAACAAGGCAATGCCGCCATCGTGTTAACGCGTCAACGCGTCACGGCTCGAACCTTGGAGATTTCTTTGCTGACGTCAACGTCGCTGATGCTGCCGTCACCCACTGCTGGGCTCGCGGCGCCCTCTGCTTGCTGTGTCTCCGGCTGCTGAGCCGCGGCGCGTACTATGGAGAAGAGCGCTTTGTAAATGCGCCTCGAGATCGCACGGGCAGGAGGAACAATCCACGCGAAGCGACGCGTGAAGCTGGAGCCACTGTTCTGGCGCACGTGGCACGGGTAGAGCCGCCTCAAAGACAGCCGCGGCGGGAGCAAGCAGCGCCATGGCTCTGGTAGCTTCAAGCACGTATTCAGGCGCTGAGGTGACGCCACGTTGCAGATAACAGGAAAATCCGAACGTTCGACGTGGCAGCAGGAAATCACAAAGCTGAAGTGCAAGTGGGTCGAATGGATGAGGTGTTGAACGGGGACGCTGAGGAGCGAAGCCTGGTTCACGCTACTAGCAGGGCTGAAAAGCGACATTGATATATGCATGAACCAGATTCATTTAAATCCAGCCATAGTTAAATATATTCCAATATAGGCCAAATTTCATCACGTTCCAACCTTCGCTAAAACCGACAATTTCTATCCCTCAGCTGCATTAGAGAGAATACGCATAGAAAGAATATGTTATCACGGGTCAAGTCTTCTTGGGGGCTAGTCCTTGGGAGAATACACCATAATGGCTTAGTGAGATGTTTTTAGGTGACGTTGAGCCGCTGGCGGAAGTCCTCAGCCATCAGGGCAGGCCTTCTCGCGGGTCACCTGTAACATCCGAGCGGGAAAAAAAAAATCAAAAAAAAAAAAAAAAAAAAAAAAAAGCCCTTCAGAGCCATGATCAAAGATTTACCATAGCAAGTAGTAAAAAAAAAAAAAAAAAACTGCAAACCAGGAAAACGCACTCTGGGCTCCCATCCAAGGATCTCCTTGGCCTTGGTGATGTCTGGCTTGCGCTGGCGCGGATCGTCAGGGGTGTTCTCCACAATCTTCCACGAGGCAGATGGCTCAATCAGCTGCACACACAAAAAGATGAAAAGATTTTGAAAAACAGGGGCATGGAAGGGGTATGAAACAACAGCCAATCTACACAAGCTCCATGTGTCAAGGCATGAGCAAGAGAGAGTTGAACTGGAGGGGGTTCCAACCAGTTAGAAGGTCCCATCGCATGCATGTCATCATAAGCACACACATTAAGACTTCCATGCTGGCATTGTACACCTTGCAATGAACGTGCACACATAACTGATAAGTAGAATGGCGTGAAATGGCAGGTGTGACTAGACAAGACTGGCGCTACAACCAGCCCGGAAGTAAGATGCAACCGACGCCCATGCCATGCAATGGCCCTCAGCCCTTCCCCCTTTTTTCCACCCACAACCCCCTCCCTCAAAGCACAAGTCGGGGATTGAAGTGTTTGCTGCATAGAAAGCAACGCACCTCTTTGACTGCAGCTGCCAGCTCTAGCATGGTGAACTCACCTGATCAGGATAAGGATGGGGTGAAATCAGCAGAGTAACAAGTATGAGGAGAGAGCAGGAACGCAATAGGCTTAAAGGTGCACCAGAAGAAGCAAGAGTGATTGCAAAATAGTGTGTGCAATTGAACAAAAGATCAAACAGGTAATCTAGTGCAGCACACGTTTCACAAGGTTCCTTGCCATGGCATCTGTCGCATCACAACCCTCCCTGCTCTTGTTCCTGTACCCTCTTCTTGCCCTACTACTCAGGGGCTTACACAATAAAAAGCACACAACTTCCCCACCAACCAAACCCAGATCCCATCATCCCAAGAGCCAAGGTTCAAATTTTCGATTGTGGATACTTGCGGTTGGAAACTTCCGACAGAAAGTTTCGGCCAGATTTTGAATATTTCGGTCAATTTCATTAGAACTCCTTTTTTTCGTAATCCTGCCAAATATTCCACATGTACTACACACAACCATCGTTTGCAGTCTAGAGAGCTGGGGAGTACAAAAACACTTTGAAATGTCACTAATCCTAGGAGGCTTCTGAGCCACTATCGCCATCGCAAATCTCCCAAGGGAAGATCACCTTGGACCCGTTAACAGCATCCCTAGTTTGCGCTATCATCGCCACTCTCAGCTTCTTCTCCTTCCCTTTTTTGGGCGCACTACCGCTTCCCCTTCATACCCTTCCCCGCCCTCCCTTCGCACAACATCTCTTCCGAAACTTGCAGCCGAATTTTTGCACCGAAAGCGGGAAACCCAATTTTGATGATTTCGACGTAAAGTATCGACAGAAAGTTTCGAAAACGAAACTTCTGTAAAAAAAAACAAAATTTCGGCGAAATTTTGAACCTTGCCGAGAGCAACACCCCGTCCCCAATGTCATGCACCTGCACGTCAGCCCACGCACCAGGGTTCCCCAGGTTGATGGGGCCGGTCACAGGGCCTCCATGAGCTTGATCAGACCGTCCACCTGTCCAAGGAGAGGGGGGCAGCGCGCAGGGAGGCAGCACGCAGGAAAGGAGCAGGCAGGGATGCAGCAGGCACATGTGTGTGGGTGTGTGTGGTGTGATGGAGGAGCGAACGGGATGGAGAGTTGTGACAAGTGGTGGTGACGAAGGCTCAGAGGTGGCCCAGCAAGGCAAGGTGGAGGCGAGATGTAAGAGGCAACGATGCATTGAAATTGAATTAGGATGGTGGTCAATGCATGCCATTAGCATGGCATGGGCATGGCATTAGCATGGCGTTCGCCAGACATTAGCATGGTACGGTCATGGTGTTGGATCACAATGGCAAGATGTTGCATGTGAACCACATACCATGTCAGCGACGTAGCAGAAGCTACGGGTCTGGGAGCCTGGAGCCTGCACTGTGAGTTCCTCTCCCCTGCATGGGACAGCGAGCAAGAGTCAAGGGTGCATGGACACAAAAGAGCAGAGAACAGGGGTGGACACAAGACAGCAGCGCATGAGTGAACAACGACAAGGGGGCATGGCATGGCAGAACGACGAGCAAGACGAGCCAACCAATCGCAAGGGAGAGGACCAAAAAGGGTGGGACTAAAATCGGGTTGTGGAACTGGGTGGCGGGTAGAGCCCCCATCGCCATCACCATCAACAACTCGGGAAGGCTATCACCGTCGGTAACAAGCCAAGCTCTTGACATTCACCTGAAGGCCTGGGCGATGAAGTTGCTGACCACGCGGCCATCGTCAATGTTCATGCGAGGGCCGTAGGTGTTGAAGATGCGCCGCCACTCGGATCTCTGCAGTGGTGCGAGGGGATGGGATGGATGGGATGGGAACAAGGGGAGAGCAATGAGAGCGATGAGGGCGCTGAGAGCGATCAGAGCGAGAGGAGCGGTGTGAGCGTCGGGGTGAGATGGGGATGGGGCGGGCGGCGGGTGGGAGGTGGGGAGAGTGTAGATTTCAACGCAATCATAACCTTTGTATGCCATTCATATCACTTGGCCACGGTTCACCATCGACGTCTTTCCACCACTCCTTCCCTTTCCTTCCCTTTCCTTCCCTTTCCTTCCCTCCCATCCATCCCCTTCGCATCCCCCACCCTCCCTTCAGCACCCCATCCCCACATCCCCCACGCCACCCTCTCCCCCAACCCCTCTCCCAAACCAAATGCTCCCCTTCTCCCAAGATCGGTCCATGCCACTCACCGACGCCGTGTTGCCGGTGGTAGTCAAACATGAGCGTCTCCGCCACTCGCTTGCCCTCGTCGTAGCAGCTCCGCACGCCTAGGGAGGGGAGAGAGAGCGAGAGAGAGGGTGAGAGGGAGAGGGGGGGAGAGAGGAGAGGAGGAGGCGCGAAGATCAGGGGAGATGGAAGGTGGAGGGTTAGAGGAGAAGAAGATTTTGAGGAGAAACGCAGTGAATTTTTGAATGGAAATCGGGCTGAATCAAGATGTGCATGCTACTGCGTTGATGCACAAATGGCTGGCATAACAATGGTGACGCAACATGGGACGCGTACAGTGGGCAACGCTGGCCATGCTCGACTGGGAGAAATGGCTCTACACATAGATTTCTCATTGATGCGAGATTGCTCATCAACCACCCACCGATGGGTTGACGTTGCCCCAGTAGGTCTCTTCTGCGGGTGCTCCAGGGGATCGCCGTATACCTCTGACGTTGACGTCAGGAGAATCCTGTGAGCAGGATAACGACGACGAAGAGGCCAACGAGGTAGCATGAGTGGAGGCAACGAGGAGATAGTGTGCAAAATCTGCAACAGGAATGATATAAAATCTGAAGTTAGGTAAAATAGCAACAGAAGGGTCCGAGAGAAGTCCGGATGACGTAAGGTCTGAGTTTGGATCGAGAAAGTTGAGCGGAAAAGACGGGAAGGAGAAGCAGCTGAGCGGTCCTCCTTACCTTGCTCCCACTCGCTTCGCCAGTCCGAGCATGTTCAGTGTACCCATCACGTTGGTCTTAATGGTCTGCACAGGGCGAACGGCGAGACATCAGCGCAGAGAAGTCAATGCAACCGGGGCAAATAAAACGTGACAGCAGCAGGCCCGAAATAGCTCGGGAGACTTAAAATTGAAGAAAACCACACGAAATTTGCGCTTGCCGTGAGGCTCGCAGCCATGCAGCGGATCTGAGGGTGCATCCGTACAGACAAACAGATGGCCGTCAGGTCTACTACGAACGTGTCGGCAGCTGAATCCAGTCCACAAAACCCTCCCCCTTTATTGTACTTACCTTCACCGGATTATACTTGTAGAAGATCGGCGAAGCGGGACACGCCAGATGGTAGATCTGATCCACCTCCACCAGAAGGGTCTCCGTGACATCTGCAAACACGCCAAAACCACGTCATATGCAGTTCAGAAATCGTCGTTTTCAAGTAACTTGACAGGAACATTTTGGGCTGTTTTAAACTTTAGTTGCGAGGGACACATGAGCCTGATCTGGCAATCCGGCGTGGCGTTTGGCTACCAATTCGTCGGCCATAAGACGGCACGTACATGTGGAGCGACGAGGACAGAAAAGCCAACGATGTGGAGGGGAGCGGATCGCATTCGTACCATGGCGAATAATTTCAAAGTTTGGGTGGCCGATCCACTGCCGGATGTTGTCCTTAGTCCCGGTGAAGAATTGTCGGCCACGATAACCTGAGACGGAGACGAGACAACGTGAAACAAGTTAAGTGGGTTCGCGGAATATTAACTAGCGCAGGAGAAGGGAAAACAGAATCGAAATAAACGGATGTGACGAAATAAACAGAGGGAAAGCCTGACAAACGAACCTATGGCCTGCTTGCATAAGCCTGTCGACAAGGTGCGATCCAATGAATCCCGCACCTCCGGTTACCAGCACTCTCAGGCGAGGCTGCATCAGGGAGAGATGCAGGAAACAGAGAGAAATCAGCTAAAGAAAATGGTGAAATCAAGCGTAGCCCCAGCACATTTCAT